ACCTTGGCCTCACTACCCATTTTACTATAATGTTTCTTCCCCCACTCATTTTACTAAAATCGCTCTAACATTAGTGATCTTTCTAGTCCCATGACTATGTTTTTTAGACTCTCAACATCAGCTCATTTGATTCTACTCTTCCCATCTTTGAAGCTATTTTACTCTACTGATCTCAGCCTTCTGCAAGGCCTCTGTCTCTCCTAACATTATACTGCCACATTCTCTCCCTTCATGTCTGACCTCTATGATTTACATCTTTTTTTTTAAGATTTTTATTTATTTATTGAGAGAGAGAGAGAGAATGATAGAGTATGAGAGGGAGGAGGGTCAGAGGGAGAAGCAGACTCCCTACTGAGCAGGGAGCCTGATGCGGGACTCGATCCTGGGACTCGATCCTGGGACTCCAGGATCATGACCTGAGCCGAAGGCAATCGCTTAACCAACTGAGCCACCCAGGCATCCCTATGATCTACATCTTTAATGTCCTCTTTGCCACTTCCTATTACTTACACTATGTCAGGCCTCCAGGATTCAGTCTTTGCCTCTATCCCACATTCATCTGCCTCAGGGAGGACGCCCCTCCTTTGTCCCCTGGTCTTTGACTGAGAGGTCCCACATTCGCCTATAACTCAATGCCACCTACCACTCAACAATGCATGGACACTCTCTGCCACAGCAGTATCCCTGCTTACCTTTATTTCAGACAACAAGGCAACACTCCTTCAGCCCTCCACCTCAAAAATTTCAGTCTTCCTTTAATCACCCTAGGTCTCACGGAGCCACACCAATTTCTTCAAAAACACTTCCTAGATATATTCTTTTTTTGGCATTGCCATCATCACCTCACACATGGATTTCTGTAATATCTTCTCAGGTTGTAGCTATTCGTGTTGTAGGTAGCAACCATGTTAATTTTCCAAAAATGCTTCTTTAATGACTACTGCTGGAAGGCTTCCTTTTTGCCCAAATTCAAGTGGTCCAAAACCCTCAAAAGGCCACACCTTATCTATTACTTCCTGACTGAAATCCAAGGTAATCCTTCCTCCTTCCACATCCTCTCCAGACCCATTACTGCCCCTACTTTTGCTCCTCTCTCCCAGACCTTCTGTTGCAACGAAGCCTTCAGTAATTTTAACCTACACTTTGATTCCTTTGTTAAAGCCAGTGGTATGTTGGGTCTTGGGAGGAGATCAGTGAGGAAAAGCCCTGATTTGTAGTGTTTTTTCAATAACCCTCACCACGGCAGATTTTAAGCTACCAATGTAACATAACTAATTGGGAAAAGATGTGCACAAAGCCAATAGGAACTGGCTCCATAGCACCACGGCAGCACTTAAAATCTGTTCTTTAATCCAGAACTTAATATATACTGTCTTGCATAAGCTCTCCAGATTATTATATAGGTATATTCATTCACTGCAACAAACTCCAGCCCTAGGGAAAGTGGGAGTCCACACACTTTAGAGCTTTCGTCATGTACAGGGCACACAGTGTGTGCTCAATAAAAACCTGTTGACAAGCCCTGGAGGGAGTGATAAGCAAAGCCAAGGAGCAAGAAAAATGGGCATGTACTCATTTAGGATTGGTTAGCAAAAACAAACAGAAATGACAATGAAGGAGCAGAATGCAGGGGAAAGAAAATCAGAATGGGAGCCAGGAGATATTGGTTATGTCCCAGCTCTGTACCTGTAGGACTCTTCTGAGGTGAAGTAAATTCCCCTCTGAGGCCTTAAGTTTCCTCATCTATAAAATTAGGGGGCTAGACTACATGACTTCTACCTTATCTCGATTCTAATGCTGTGGAATGTCAGTTAAACTGACAAGGATGCTGGCCATGGTCCACTGTATTGGTATAATAATAAAATCATTTTAAAATCTGTTGGTAAGTCAGCAAAGTTTAGGACAAGAAAATTTTTCTGAAGGTGTGAACATTCTTGTAAAGCCATTCTATTCTTTTGACTTAATTACTCTGTAGAAAGTAATAACTGTTCCTGCTCGTGCTCGCTCACTCTAATAAAATCTTTTTTTTTTAAGGTTTTTATTTTTTTGACAGAGAGTTAGAGAGCACAAGTAGGCAGAGCAGCAGGCAGAGGGAGAAGGAGAAGCAGGCTCTCCGCTGAGCAGGGAGCCTGATGCGGGGCTTCATCCCAGGACCCTGGGATCATGACCTGAGCTGAAGGCAGATGCTCAACTGACTGAGCCACCCAGGCACCCCATAAATAAAATCTTTAAAAAAAATAATAATTATTCCCAAGAATATCTACTGCCTGTCTGTGAGCTTGACACTGATAAGTGCTAAGGATTTAGTAAAAACAATTCAGTCTTTACCCTCATGGAACTCACAGGAGTATGGGTCAGTAGTCATTTAGTTCCAAATCACTCTATCAGTGCCTTTTAACTTAAGGAGCACAGATTGCTTTAAGGAATGGATGCAAGCTATAGATTCTCTCTTCCCAAAACATAAAAATATGAATATAATTTCAGAGGTTCACAGGACCACTCATCTGTAAAGGGGTCCAAGAACAACAAGTTAACAACTTTGACCTGTATCTCCAGCTACATCTGCAAAATGATAGATTTAAAAACCTACATTCTGTTTGCTAAGAAAGTACAGCGAAGATTTCCAACAGAAGTAATTCAAAAAAGGTCCATCGTTTAAAGGATTAAGCTTTGACTATTTGAAATTTCACTCACCTAGAGTATCTTAGTCTAAATAATATTCTGGATAAGTGAAGCATGCCTAGATTAGGTTTCTATTTGATCTGCGATTCCTTTGGTTAAGGTTGCCTGATAAATCAGTCTTCTTACTTGAAAATCCATTTGCACATAAATGTGTGCTTCTGTTTCACAAGTATATCTGCATTTCATGATTCTTCCATTTCACATCAAACTCAATTAACCATGACAAACACAGTACACACATATCCTGAATAAGCATCTTGAATGAAACAAAGAGCACAAGTTCCTGAACTAGAAGGCACTTACTCATCTCCTGGCTCTAACATTTTATGGCTAAATGATCTTAAACAAGTCATTTAACCATCTGACCTATGTTTATTCACTTGTACATTGGAGAATGGATGATAAGACTTACCTAGGAAGGGTACTATAAGAAATCAATCAAGTAAAATAATGTATGTCAAAGTATTTAGCTATAAAATAGACACAAGTGGGTGAAAGGGCAAATTGCTTAGAGTTGCTCACAAAACATGAGACATTCAAAGAAGGTCCTTTGGAAAGAGTTTGTCATGTAACATTCTTAGTGGATCTATCTGGAATAAAATAAATTGTTCTTAAAATGCTCAAGGAATTCTGTTTTGATTGAGTGGTCAATAGTGAGGTTCTTAAATATCAAAAGTCTGCAAAGAGGCTTTGGAATCTTTATAATGCATAAATATGTTTTCAAGGCAGGAAGATAAACTACTTAAAACCCTAGGGTCTTAGTTCCTATGTAGTCAAAGTCCCTTTTACTCAGTCTATTTTAGCTTTTTCCAGAGCAATGATTCTTTCACTTACCTTGTAACAGCTAACAGGTCAAAAGGATGTACACAAAAGATTTTAGGTAAGTTAGTCCAACAGAGCTGAACAAATCAATGAATCAATCTTTTTTAGTGGAGGGAATGTTTATTTTAAAGGAAGTATATAATATTCTTCTGTTTGAGACATGTTTTCCAGTCCATTCTCCATTGGAACACAAAATAAGAATATAAAAGATAAATTTTTCTTACATTACTTCATTTACATTTGCAATGTACATTTACATTATTTCAACAGGCAAGTTTGGGGCGATTCTTCCTTTAAAATTGGAAATAAACAACTCTTTAATAATTTGCTACCAAGGAATAAAAGATCAGTCATTACACCTTATCAAAGCTCATAAAGGTGATCAAAAGTGATTTGCCCTGGTGCCTAGAAAAAAACCAAGCGGCAAACATTTTGATTTCTCAGCCCCTACTAAGCTCTGTTGGTTCCCCAAGAAGACAAATTAAGCTCTGACTCCAAATACCCATTACACAAATGTCTACTAGAAAAATAAACTGCAGATTCTACATAACACTTTCCTCCAAAAAATTCAAAGCACTTAATCGTAGAATTGTTTAAAAGAAATGTATCCCCCATTTTAGGAAAACAATTACTATTATTCTGTAGGCCCTTAAATCCCTTTCCCAATCAGACACTAAGTGGGTAGGAAACCCTAGACTAAAGGTTTTTTCTGAGAGTCGGGATAAACTCTTGAGATGGTGGAGGGCTGGGGAGACTCAAGACTCAAGCAAAGCTACGGACGGGAGAGGTTAGGGTGAAAAGCTGAATCAATCAGACAACGGGGGAGTTCTAGGGATGGCAGGTGCATTAAGAACTGAGTTCAGAGGCCACTGGGGATGGGGGGGTTGATAAGGATCGGGGAGCAAGGGCTCGTTAAATGGGTGGGAGTTGGGTGGATGGAGGGCCAGGAGCGACGGTCTCTCTGGGCCAGCCCCCATTACCTGCTTAGCAGTTGCTCGCTCAGCCTTTGCTCTTTCCCATTATTGGGGTATGACTACGAGCCACTTGAGAGTGCGCGATGAAACCGAGCAACTACCAGATTTTGGGAAGCGGCAGGATTCCTCAATCTCCAGCAGCCAAGGTGGCCTCCCAACCTCCCCGAGCCCGGCCCGCGTCTCACCCGCCGCCTGGCGCAGGCCGCGCAGGGTCTCCATGACTGCCTACTCCGCTGACCCGACAGCGCCTCCCGGGCGGTGACAGCGCGGGCGCAAAGTCACCAAACGCCCGCAATAGGAAAGAGGCGGACGGCGCAGGCAGGCAGGACGAGGGCTACTTGAAGGCGGACCGAGCGGGTCGTGCGTGATGCGCTGGGCGTGTGGGCGGGGCCTGCATGACGCGCGGAGCGTGTGGGACGTGCGTGACGCGCAGACTATGCAGGCGGTGAGCCCGGTTCAGCCCCGCACAGTGCCTGGTCGCGTCTTTAAGAATGTTTTTGTGGGATCTGGATGTCACGGGCCTTTGCAGTCATTCCCTGCGTCTAAGAAAGTACCCTTTAAAATAGAAATGTGTTCACTGTAGGACTTTTGTGACTTGTGTAGACCCTGAAATCACACTGCCTAGGTAAACCAGTATTTCAGTACTGTTTTTCCAGCATTTTCAATATCCCTTTACCAAAAACACACAACTGGGCTCCTAGTAACTGATCGACCCCACGTCTTACTGCCTTTGAGAGTATTTCTCAGTCTACCAGAGAAATTCACAGGTATGCTTCCTATTTCTTTCATTTGCCTATTTTTATAAAACCAAATATTTTATTTCCACACCTGAACACCTTATTTAACCTTTTCCCCACACTGTCAGTAGTCTTTTTTTAAAAACGTTTCTTAGTAGTCCCAAATTCTTAACGAACAAAGGCCCCTCTGCTCAAGGGAAGGGAGGTAAATAATGAAGTGGGAGGGTTAAGAAAAACCTCACTTCTACTCTAGATTTCCTACTCGAACTACCGGTTGCTGCGACCAACAAACTGTTTCCCTTTGTGTAAAAGGAAAAAAAAAATGGGACTGGAGTAAAACGATCCCTTCAAATTCTAATATTCTCCGATTCACCTAGGCCGGCCGGCCGTGTTAATACGGTAGAAGCGAAAGGAAGGATAGCAGGTTTACAGGTTTGGGTGTATTTGAGGACCAGGGCAAAGACAAAGCTTAGTTTAGTTTAGGTTCCTAGCTGATTGCCTTCGGAATAAATTTTGTTAGGCGGCGACGCGGACACCTTTGCTCCGTGGTGATTGGCTCGCGGCGGGGGCCTCGCGTTTGTCTAATATGGCGGCGCCCAGTGGCGGTGTGAACTGTGAGGAGTTCGCCGAGTTCCAGGTGATGGGGTTTTCCTCATGTGGCAGGAGCGTCCCTCCTTTTGTCCCTGTACCCTGTTCCCTCCTCTGGCCTGGGAGGGAGTGCGGACCAGTTGTAGGAAAAGCGGGCAGTTCAAGGCTCCTTTTTCCAGCCATTGGAGGTCATGGGGGCGCGGGCTTGGCCGTAGAGAGCGAGGCAGCTCCGTGGGGGTCATGGTTTTCTTTGCGGCGCCCAGACCTTGAGTAACCTCCCGGGGAAACTCCGGGTGGTTCCGAGGTGGTAAAACCGAGCTTGGGCCGGGTGGTAGGGATTGTAACAACCTTTTAAGCCAACGCCTGAACGCAATTCCTAGTTTCTGCGGTCCCTTTCTTACTTTAGGTTGAGCATTCGTGGGAGAGAGGAAAGTGAAGGAGAACTTTTTTGATTAATAAAACAAAACAAAACAAAACTTAGTAAGTTTTACTATTTTGGTGGGGCAGAACGTTTGGAACCTTGGAGGGGCGATTGGTTTTAGTACCTGCTGTGGTGCTTCTGCCTACCTAACAATTAGAGGAAATGGAACATTTAAGAAAAAGGTCGTATCTTTTATATATTCAAATTCCAGAGGTCTAGGGCTAATATCAGGCTATAAATTGAAGAACAGGGGTAAGTTGCTATGAGAGTTATCTGTTCCAATGTAGGCATAAACGTGTTGTCTAAAGACTTGAATTTAAAAAACCATGACCTTATAAATGTATGTCTAATCAAAGATAATGAAAAATAATTTCAAGTATCACTGACCTATTTGTAGGAAGTTTTGTGCTATGAGCCATTTTGTAGGGAGTGGTATTTTTGAAGATAACCTCAACAGACTGAATTATTTGACAAATATTTGGCCAGAGAAATTTATGTGGGGTCTTTCCACCATACTTGCACCCTCTTCACCCTTCAGCTGCTCCTCAGATTAGATCAGCACAACAGCAGCTGACTTCAAATGTGATCAAAGTGCCTGACAAATACAGATACTTGTAAAAGTCTTAAATAAGATGGGAAAAGACCATTAGAAAATAAGTATGCGGAATGTTTAAGGTTAACAGGCCCATTTGTGGCCTTGGTCTTTCACATTAGTACTATGACTTGAGTTAATGAGCTCAGATAACTGAGCAGTGATAGCTTTAAGGTTATTAGAATGAGCGCTGGTTAGGGAGTTAGATGATCTGGGTTCTAATACTGCTTCTGCCTTTAACAGCTTTGGAACCTTGAGCTAATTGCTTAACACTTAGGAATAAACTTTTGAATCTGTAAAATAAGATTATGTTAGGTAACATTTAAAACTGCTTCCATCTCTATAATTATTTGAATCTCAAACTGAATTTAAGATTTTATTTATTTATTTATTTATTTATTTGAGAGAGAGAGAGATCATGCGCAAGTGGGGGGAGAGGCGGAGGGAGAGGGACAGAGTACGTGCTGAGCACGAGCTTTGGTCAGTGGGGGAGCTTGATCCCACTACCCTGAGATCATGACCTGAGCCAAAATCAAGAGTCGGACACTTAACCAACTGAGCCATCCAGGCGCCCCTCTAAAACTAAATTTCAGGGGCGCCTGGGTGGCTCAGTCGTTAAGCGTCTGCCTTCGGCTCAGGTCATGATCCTGGAGTCCCGGGATCGAGTCCCACATCGGGCTCCCTGCTCAGCGGGGAGTCTGCTTCTCCCTCTGACCCTCTCCCCTCTCATGCTCTCTCTCTCTCTCTCATTCTTTATCTCAAATAAATAAATAAATCTTTAAAAAAAAAAAAAAAAAACTAAATTTCAAAGAATCTCTGTTAAAATACCCAACAGTTCTTAAAAAACACTTGTATTTTTCTTTTGGAAGTCACATAAGATGTAAGGGGGGCAAAAGCTAAACTCTCTTTGTAGAACCATTCCATTCACAGAAAAATGTAAATAAAAAGATCATAAAATGAGTTTCATTAGTGAAATGGGGAAAGTTTTTAGATAGTTTTCTTAGGGCTTTTCCAAGTGTGTGGTTTATAATGGAGGATTCCTTGAGTTAAAAGTCAGATTTGGTTTTCCACAGCTGCCTTGGCATATCATTTAACCTTATTCTAAATAAGTATAAGAACATTTGCCCCAACTATGTCAGTCACACATGAACATAAGTGAAGGAGCTGTAAAACGTAAAAATTTAGTATAACATTTAGGTTTAGATGAATTGGGTAAAAATAAGCTGTGGGTTAACTGACATATAGATTATCAATTAAAGTTAATGTTTTTAAAGCTATGAAACCATTACATTTTGTATGTAAGTACCCTAAATGTGAAAAGCAGTGCACTGAATACTGTGGAAGAGAAACAGGAAATCATGTATTTTTATTATAAAGCTTTAGGTACTTTAGAATTTTATTATGAAAATGTTCAAACGCTATAGAAAAGTCAAAGACTCTTACAATGAACACTTATATATATCTAGATTCTCTAATCAGTGATTTGCTGTATTTACTGTATCACACACATATCCATCTCTCAATATAGTCATCAGTTCACCTTTTTTTTTTTTAAAGATTTTATTTATTTGTTTGAAAGAGAGAGAGCCCACGAGCAGGGGGTAGGAGGAGAGGGAAAAGCAGAGTCCCTGCTAAGCAGGGAGCCCGATGGGGGACTCAGTCCCAGGACCCTGGGATCATGACCTGAGCCATAGGCAGAGGCTTAGCTGACTGAGTCACTGAGGCGCCCCTGCCTTTTTATCTTATTTTTATTTTATTTTATTTTATTTTATTATTTTTAAAGATTTTATTCATGAGAGACAGAGAGAGGTAGAGGCAGAGGGAGAAGCAGGCTCCCCATGGAGCAGGGCCCCTGATGCGGGACTAGATCCTAGGACCCTAGGATCACAACCCAAGCCCAAGGCAGATGCTTAACCAACTGAGCCACCATGGGCCACCCCCTTTTTTATTTTTTTGATGCATTTCAAAGTAGGTTGCAAACATCCGTATTCACTCCTGAACATGTCACTATTCATATCATTAGCTATAATTGAATATTTGTTCACTTTCATTCTGTAAAATTTGTATGCAGTGAAATGCACTAATCTTAAGCGTACCATTCTTTTGACATTTACCTATACCTGTAGTACAAACCTCTACCAACGTAGAGAATAATACTGTCACCTCCAAAAGTTCTCATGCCCCTTCCCAGTTAACCCCTGCCCGTATATCCCTCCTCCTCCCCTTTTACAACTACTGTCCTGATTTTTCGCCAAGTATGTGCATGTTTTAAAGCTTAAGCGTTTTGAAAGTATTTTAAGTTTTTGCAATTCTTATTTTTCCATTGTAAAAGTTGGACTTAACACTCCTGGAAAATATACTGTTTCTAAAATGAAATAAAATCCAGAAAAGAAATGTTTAAAATAGAGTGTCTAGGATTCCATTTGAACAACTCATTTAGCAAGAATTTATTGGATATTGTATTAGTCTGCTAGGGCTGCCATAACAAATTCCACAGAGTGGGTGGTTTAAACAACAAATTCATTTTTTCCAGTTCCAGAGGCTCAAAGTCCAAGATCAAAGTCCTGTCAGCGTTGGTTTCTGGTTCACCGTCTCTTCCTGGCTTGCATATTGCAGCCTCATTGCTGTGTTCTCATATGGCCTCTTTGTGCCCAGAGAGTGGGAGAGAGATGTCTGGTGTCTATTCCTCTTATAAGGACACCAGTTCTGTAGGATTAGGGCTCCACCCTTATGACCTCATTTAACCTTAATTACCTCCCTATATGCTCTATCTCCAAATACAGTCATGTTGGGGCTTAGGGCTTCAATATATGAATTTGGTGTCGGGGGGACACAGTTCAGTTCATAACAGATACTTGTTAGGTACCAGGCACTCGGGGAGACTTAGTGGACAGAATATAAAATAAGGAATGTAATGCAAGCAAGGATACAAAATATGTAGAAGATATTGAGAATATGAATAAAATGCTATAACAGGTGAGAGAGAAATAAATCAAGAGGTGGTAATTAAGTTGGGCCTTAGGTGGGCAGGACCAGGGGAATTCTAGGTAGAAGGAAGAGTATGTAGGCAGAACATTTTATGTATTTTGGGGAAAGAGCCAATCAGTATTGCTGGGATTCGGGATTTGCACAGAGACGCATTGGGATTACACAAAAGATTGGAACCAGATTATGAAAGGCCATGAATGCCAAGTGAGATTAGGGAGTCATTTCTGTCAGTTAGGAACATTCATCAGTACTGCCACAGTCTTTGTACATGCCCTTTACAATATCCCTCCTTATCTTCAGTCACTGCTTCCTCCAATATATCCCCCTTCAATCTAATCTCCATAATACTATGGCTTCATATTGTTACCTTCTGAATTTTGGAATCTGAACCATGCATCTAATTTGAGCCTTTTGTGACTAGGTCTAAACTACTTAACATGT